CCCATTGTGTTCTGGGTACTTGCTGTGACTCACTTCTGTGGTTGGTGGCTGCCTTGTTCTGAGGAAATGTGTTTGAGCAGCCATAGATCTGGAAAACCTTTACGTGGGAGTACAGAGAATAGAGAAAATCAAATGAGCTTAATACCGGCATTAGATACCAGAGCAAATTCTCCTATCTCAATTCTGCTGAACCCTGATCCTGGTGATAAAAGGTCACATGCATGTTACCCTTCACTTCTGTGACCTCATGGTTATCTGGTCCTCTTTTAATCCCAGTCAATATCAGACTGTAGACGTGAAGTGTGAAATTTGCCGTTCTCTGATTCTCCTACAAACACTTAGTTGCTACAAATGTTAAAAAAAGTGTTCATGTCTCTCTCCATGGTATGGAGCAGTGAAGCACTTCAAATCCCATGTGTGTGAGCTGTGTTCCTTGATACTTTTGTGTTCTGTCTTGCTGGAGAAGCTGCTGTCCCTCAGGCTCTGTTCAGCTGTCTCTGGTACCTTTGCTCCTGGAGACCCCTGGCTGCTGGCAAGGGGTGTTTTGGGGACCCTCCTGTTGGCTGTCCTGCCTGTGCATCCCACAAGCCGGATATTTTTGGACTGACACTACAATTACAGTTCAGGTGTAGTTTCAGTTCTTGTTTGTTGTGGTGCCGATTTTTCAGTGCTTTCTTGTGGGAGGCAGAAGGTAGCTTTTACAGCATTTCCCGGGTATTTATGAAAATGCAGGGAGATGCTGAAGGAAAGAAGCTGCTCATGTCTTCCCCTCTGATGCAGCTGAATTTTCCTGGAACAGTGAGTGTGCTCAGGCATGTCAAATGTGATGTGTGGTGCCATCCCGCCCCAGCAGCTGAAGTGCTTCATGCCTTCCCGTGTCTCTTTGGATTTCACCAGTGGTATCTTCCCCCTGACAGAAAATTTGGCCATATCTATTATCTGCCAATATGTCCTCTCAGTGCCCCATCCTTATATCTCTAGACCTTTCTCCCAATGTTGTTTTTTTGGAAGCATTTGCAGAGTCTTTTATGATTATTCCAGTCTGTTCCATTGTAGCAGAAATGACAAATACTGGAATTGTTCTCCTGCAACTTTTCATCAATATATTTAAGGTATTTTTCCCTCAAGTGAGTTTGATGCTATTGTCTCTTAATTGCTGTCTTCAGGTTAAACAATTACTTGTCAGGGCTTTCAAAAGAGGAAAGAGGCTGCCTGCATAGAGATATTTCATCAATCATGCAGCTTTTTCACCAGTTCCACCTTCCTGCTGGGTAACTGCGTCTATTTCAGTTGTTCTTGAGCTGAGTTCACAAAGGAGCTGTGAAATGGTTTCCAGTTGTTTGCCTGTTCTTTCTTTCATAGTAAATATGGGTTGAATCACAGTCCCTCCTATGGGTGAAATATGAAGAAGCAGTTTCCTTCGTGTGAGGGCTTTTTTTAGTGTGTGGGGCTCTTTTTTTTTTTGTTATTGGTTGTGTTGGGGTTTTTTGTTTGGGTTTTTTTGTTGCAGCTCTCTTGAAGAGCTTGCACAGTAATATTTTGCTCAGATATGTAAAAAATGGGGTTGTGTAACTTTTTCCACATGTATGTCTGCCTTTTAAAATTTTATTATTTTAAAAATTATTTCTTTGAATGGTATCACAGTAGCTCTGCCTCCTGTTTTGTCCTGTGCATTTTCGGCCATTTTGGAAGCTTATGGCTGGGGAATGCCTCTGAACTGTTCCCAGGTTACCAATTTGGGGAAATTAGGTATTCGTTTTCTGCAACATCTTCCCAGTTTGTTCATCTTTTCCAGCCTTTATAATTCCCTTTCTTTGTGCTCATCTTCTCTCCACTTTCTCAAAGACACATTAGTCATTTGGAAAAAATAGCAATATTTCTTGCAATGTGGGGAATTATTAGTTTTATTATTGTGGGTTATTTTAATTTCAGAATTTTATTCTTTTTTTAGGATTTAAAGATTTGTGAAGCCATTGTGTTGACATATAGCAGTTCTGTGCTTCAGTATGTTACTGTTAAACCTATCTTTTTTCAATGTTTTCATCACTGACTTCGGGGTTTTTTTTAGTGTTAAATATGTATAGTTTGCTCTCTTAAGCATCCGTTGAGACTCCTAGGATCCTCCTGCAGGTCTCTGTATGATCTAAAATTTCTTTCCTTGGATCCAGTGTACCCATGAGCCTCTCTGGCTTTTCCATAATACAGCACGGCATCTTTTCTGCTGCATCCGCTGTGTTGTGTCTTTTAGTCTCTGAGCAGTTTCCTCAAGTTCTCATGTTTCTCATGGAGACCTCTGCTCAAGCAGGCATGTTCAGGCTGAAGAGAGTTTGCCCTCTGCTTTTGTGTTAGTCTCCTTGAACCCCTGATTTCCTTGCAGTTCCATATTTCTGACATCATACTTGCCCCTGGGTTCAGTTGCTCTGCTTAGATGGCTTATGTCTGAATTAATAATTACCATGGTATTGCTAATTGCTACTACTTTACAATACTTTCTACTTGGGAGCTGTATGAATTGCCTCTGCTTGTTTGAGTACACCTAAACTTCCCTTAGGTTTGGTAACTCCTGAGACCAGCAGGGCTTCCTAGTCATCTCTGGAGTGAAGGTGCTTGTGGAGACCAGGGTCTTATCAGCATTGTTCTTTCCTGAGCCAGAAATCAAGTTCTCTGCAGATGCAGTCGCAGTCGCTGCAGTGAATCTGTAGGTTTTCTCCAGGATGCAATGTAGACACGTTTCTTTTCGGTGAAAACAACGTTGTGGTGTTTTTATTAAAACTAATGATGGTGACATAATTTCCTCTCCAGAATCTCCTTTCTGCTGTATGTTCAAGAGACCAGGTGTACCCCAGCAGGACTTGTGCTATATTTGAAGAGCGCTGCCTGCTGAGTCTGAGCTCCTTTGAAAGGAGCAGTGGTGCCTGCTTAGGAGGCTGCAGCCAAGTTACTTTATCCTCCTAGGCCTGAAGAGCAGGTCAGATTATTTTGGTAATCATGTCAGGATGTGAAATTAGTGAATAGGCTTCTACAGCAATTCCCCTATAAAATCTGGGCTATTGTAGGCTCAGTGGATGGCTTTACTGTGTCCTGTTGTTGGTGTTACAGCAGTGGCCGGATTCTGACATCGAGAGTGAGTGCAAGCATGGGAGGTTACTAAGGGTGTAATGTGAGAGCACTATGTTAATGTAGCCGTGACTGAATCAGTACCACAAGAAGATTAAAAGAAAGTGCTTCAGATGTATTAAAAGGGTAACAGGAGACCTGGGAGACTTTAAAGCCATTAGCCTGAGGTGGAGTCTGTGCAATTTAAATTGCAAGAGTTAATTTGGAATTCAGTGGAAGAAGTAAATATATATACTAATGAAAGTAGATCTGTCTTGTAGAATGACAGTGTAAAATGTGGCAAGTTTGTCAAGATTACAGCCTGGTTGATCAAAGTATCAGCAGTAAGATTGTTTCTCCAAAGTGCTTGACTTTGTACTGTAGTTTATTTTATTGACATTGCTTGCACTGCTAATGGAAAGCATATTATTCCTATTGAAAATTGGCTCAATGGAGAGAGAAACGGCTGGGAAATTACAGTGGGATTGATTCTTGGGTTCAAGGGTGTGTAATTTTGTGTATCAACCATCCCAAGGATGAGTTGGTTATCAGTTACTATTGATAAAAGTGGGAGGAGGAGAGGGTTGATAAGGGTTGATGGATAGGGAAGTCAGCAATTCAGAGCAGATGGTCAAATAGTGAAAAGGTCAGTGGGACACAAGTGTAGCTGATAGGATTGTGGGGGAGAGAGGGTAGGGGTTGTAACTGTGGGATAGGAATGGTGATAGAGTGTGAAGCTGTTCTAGTAAGTCACCTCTGTAAGCTGTCATGTATGCCTTACCCAGACAGTGAGGCTGCCATCAGGCTGTGGACTTTTGCCTTGCTGGCAAGCATCTCTTTCCTTCTCTTTCTCTAAGCAGTTGGTGAAACTAGTGCAACACTTGGCTTCAGAAATCGTCTTCTTTCTTACTGAAGGCAATTCAAACTTTCAAGTGTAATTTCCTAATTTTAGACTCTATCTTGATCATTCACTGTACTAACAGAAACCATGACTGTTTATTTTCCAAATCAAAGTGTTTATTTAACCCAGATTTATTTCAAGATTGTAACTCTTGCTGAGAAATAGAACAAGAGAAAAAATTGCTAGATGCAAAGATTAACCTCTAAACCACAAACACTTGAAAACATTCGAGATAGTTTTGAACAAGGGCAGCCGTGGGACTTATCTATCCAATTGGTACCCACTTAAAATGGTTATTAATTCCTCTTGCAAAAGAGATTAGTGTTGAGTAATAAGGGCCATAAAGTCGAATGAAGCCTCATCTCTCTTTTTACTAAAGGTGTGCAGGATAAAGGATTTCCGTGGCATAACTGAAGAAATACGCTTTTGGAAGGGTACTCTTCAGTGGCATTGCGCAAGCTCAGAGCAGAGAACAGAAAATCCATTTACCCTATCCAGAGCCTGATTTCCCTTCCCCTGGCAGTAAAGCTTCCCCTGAGATGACTATTCTGAGACAGAGGAGCCTACACAAATGAGGATAATGTAAACTGGAAACTTGGAGTCAAAGCTTCTAGGTTGCAGCATCCTTGCTTGTGGAGCAAAGTGTGTTCAAGGTGTTTAAGAACTGAATAGATTTTAAGACTTCTTGGCATCCTCAGAAAGAGAAGCCTGGCACTCTTTTCTCCCTTAAAGCAGTCCTATCTCACTTTTTGTTAAGTTTTGATTAGTTTCAGAGCAGCTTTAGGAAGCAGGAATAAAGCTGACAATACTGGTTTTATACTGCTGAATGTGAAAACTGTGGATTGCACACAGTCATTGGAAATAGCCCATTCTCTCATTCTTGCAAATCCAGCAGAAATGCGGTGTCTGACCTTTGCTTTCAGTGTTTGATAGTCTTGTGCTCTCTCTCATAGAGCATTATTTTCCCCTTTTGACTACCAGAGTAGGGACCACGTTTAATTTTAAACTTTGGCAGGCTGATGTTAGCGCAGTTGGTCAAAGCATGGTGCTAATGACACCAAGGTTGTGGGTTCAATCCCTGTGTGGGCCATTTGCTCAAGAGTCACACTCGATGATCCTTGTGGGTCCCTTCCAACTTGGAATATTCTGTGGATCTGTTTCGTTTCCCTGCAGTTAAGTAAAAATTCCAACACCTGCTTTTCCTCTTGGAGTTTGTTTTCTGGTTTGGCTCTTGAAGGTTTTGTAGTGTTAGCAGTGCTTTGGTTTTAATTGTCCTTAATTTTTTAAGCCTTTCTCATCTTGGAGTTCTTTCTTCCACAAGATGATAGCTAGAGCTGGAATCCCCGAATAAAGCACAGATGAACACAGAAACAGATTAATCTGCCTGGCTATATGCAAAATGACCTCGTGATAAAACTATATCAGGGCCAGCAGCAGTTCTGTATCTGCTCATACATCTATTCTTTATAGCTCTTGCTTTATGGCTATGCACTGTGACCCGTCTAAAAAGGGAGGCTTAACAAACAATTACAGAGGACACAGGGACTGCCAGCTGAATGTAACTGTGCTGGGCTGACAGTCAGCATATGCAAAGTTTTGGCATTGTTTAATATTCTTGTTTGCTTGTATGCTTCCAACGGGGAACAGTTGGTCTATTGTAATCAAAATGTATTGCTAACGATGTGTTCTGAATTTAAAAGGGGGCAGTATCACTGCTAACACAAAAACATTATTTTTCTTCCTGCTTCTGAGAAGGAATGGCTTCTGATCCCTGCCAGCAAAAGTAGAGCTTTTTCAGCTGGAGGGTATCAGATGACCGTTTTCATATATTTGAAAGGAAAAATGTCTACAGTGCACAAATGAATCTTTTGCTCAGGTGATTTAAACGAAAGTCAGAGCCACAGAGCCTGCTACTGGTGGTAATTCTCAGGCTGTGTGGCTGCCTCGCAAGAACTGCTATGTGAAAAGATGATTACAAAGTTGTGCTACTTGGAAATACAGATCTGTTCCCTCACATGTATCCACAGGAACAAAGAATGAATCTGGATTTTTGTTCCTGCTGCAAGGTAAATGCACACATGCGAGTCTGTTGGGTTTACAGCGTGTTAACAAGTGGTAATTGGTGGTGGGGGAATTGGCTTGGCTGTACTGTGTGCTGCCTCAATTATGGTATGCATTCAGGAGGCAAATGGCTTTAAATGCAGGTTAAGAACTGTGGTGGAGCATTATGTGTCTGAACTAGTTCTGTTCTTGAACCTTTGCTTGTGCACCTTGATACTCTGTGAAGGTGAGTGTGGTTGGGAGAAATGAGTTTTCCTGATCTGATTAAAAACAGACTGGGCTGGTCTCAAGGTTTTGTTTCGCACTTCCAGTGCTGTTTCAGTCTTTTGGTGTTTATGTTCTGGTTTTTTTTCCCTCTTTCATTAGCAGACAGCTAATGTGTTCTCAGCTCATCGAGTAGTGAGAGGGCAGTACCTTTAATGTAAACCAACTGTCAGCTGTGAAATGAGTAGAAAACTTAAGAATTTGGTAAACGCTGTACTTGCTGTTGCAGTTGTATCTCAATGCCAAGCTCGACTAAAATCTAATGTGGGTGACTTCAGATTTGATTAGAGTCAGCAGCATTGCTGGGGAGCTCTGGAGAAAGTACGTTCTTAGAATTTAAACAAGGTTCCTACCGGAAAGGTTTTGGCACAATCTAAGTGGGTGTTGCAGAAAGTGTATTCAGGAAAAGTCAACAACCTTAAAACCATACTCCCTAGCCTGCTCTTCTGTCCCAAAAGTCCATTGTTCAGTTGCTGAGGGTTTGCTACATACTTAAAATGACAGTAGCATCTGCCCCTTTTTAAAATGTAGCTTTCAGGTTAATCTTGTCACACACAGTTCGCACTAATGCTAATACCAGTGTACCCCAGCACTGAGAAATAACATAGTTGCTGCTTAGGCCATGCTCTCAGCATATATTTTAAATAAATTGGTGCTGCAATTATTTATTTATTATTTATTGCAATAAATTGCCAAATGTTCGGCCCATTCTTGTCTCCTGGTCTGTGATACATGTGTATTTTATGCAATTGGAATGTTAAGTTACCAAGACTGATATTCCAAGCTCCTGTCCTTCAAAGGATGTGCCAATGCATAGTGCTTTAATCAGACAAGCTGTGTTATTACTGCATTTAGGGTAGTCAGCTTAGACAGTGGTTGTGGAGAACCCAAGCCATGGCATTGGGAATGGATGGGATGCAGATGAGGGAAAGGTTAGATATTCCATATCCCTGTCCTGTTAAAGGCTTGTGAGAGCCTTTCCTTCCCTTGCTTAATTTTTTCTGCTTTTTGCAAGTGTGTTCTATGGACAAAGACCAGTACATTACCTGCAAGCTGCTCTGTTATTTCTGCTCATTAATGCTGTACACTGACTTGCATTTCCCTCCATACACGGGCTTGTTTTTGTTTTTGCTGCAGCACTCTGAATCTTGGCGTAACCTTTGCTGGTATTTCAGTGCTATCGATCGAATGATCAGCAGTGCTTTCCTCTAACTCTGGATGCTGATGCCACATTTTCCCCACTTGATTCATCAGGATCTTGATTCTTCCGGGTCCTACCCATGATCTTTCCTTCTCCAAGCAGAAATGTGGTTATGAGGGTTATCAATGTAGTTATCAAGCTAGAGCTTCATGGCCCCTCTTGAAAAACTCGGTGAATTGAGATGCTCTCATTTACTTTGCAGTTATATCTCTTGGAGGGAGAGAGCTAAATTCTTGACCAACTAGATGGCTTCCTGCTTGCTACTTACTGTTTTAAGTTAATTCTTAATCACCTGATATTAATCAGAAGGAGGCACAGAGCAGTCTGTGAGAGTCTGGGCTGTAAGAGGGGAATAAGGTAGTGAAGTGGGGGACTCGGGGGAAATTTGGGAGCTTAAAGTTTCAAACCTCACCTGCATTCAGGCAGCTGGAACAGTACTGAAGCTCTTACCTCAACCAAAAGGGGATGCTTTGCAGGCTTTGTGGGAATAGATAGCTTGTAATAAAGGCAGGGAAAGGAATGTGTCTAGGGTAGTGGTTATACAATCTCTGTAAACTGATGCCATGGCCAAAAGAAAAGGTCCTGGAGGCTCCTTCTTTGGAACCTTCCTACATGTTTCTACCACAGCTGCTAAACCATCTCTACAAGCGTAGCTATTTGAAAAACTGATTTTATGTGTATTTGCATGTATCTGTTACAATGCAGATACAGGGTTGGGTCTTTTCCACTATGAACTTCTTTTTGTGGCCTTACTAACCACTGCCAGCTTCAGGCTGCATAGGTGTGGACGTAAATGGAAGGTGGGATAAACTGCATAGTTTACTCCTGGAGAGATTGTCAGATGAACTGAGGTAACTTCTGACTGCAAGTGATGTGGGGGGAATTTTTAAAGATGATAGAAGTCCAGAGGGCCTAAATGAAAGCAGCATCTGTAGTCATTTGATTGATGTTAGATGGGGCATTTTTAATGGAAAATAAGGGGTGAGGTGCTAAAAATGCTGGTTAGCACACAAAGTTGTGTGGTTCTGTTTGCTGACATGCAACACTTCTCTGGAGCTGTGCATGAAGCTTTCATGGTCTGTCTGTGATACTGCTACAAACAGAGAAATAAGTTAGTGCTTCTGATAGCTTTCTGCTGTGCTTTGGGCATACAACATCCTAATCAGCAAAAGAAAAAAATATTTCTGTAATAGTAGCAGAGAAGAATAAATTTCAATAGCCAGCAATGTTTTTTATTGTTAAAATTGTTTGTTAACATTTGGCAGGAAATTCAAAGTTTTATGGGTGTATTGACACCTTGTCATTTCTGGGTTTTAAGTTTTTTCTTCTATCAGGCCACCTTCACTTTCCATCACTGATGGTGGTATGTCTATTTAAAAAATAAGCTGTCACAAAATTCTGAGAAACCTGAAGGTAGAACTTGTTTGAAAATATTATCAGAAAGCTCAACTTGTTTTTCTTTGGTCTTTTTGGGTTTTTTTTTTAATGAAAACCCATAGGCTTTAAACTTGTTGCCTTTCCCCCCATCTTAAACTCATTATTCCTGTTAATTTGTCTTTTAATTTAAAGAGAAATAGCAGAACATCCCAAATCTTTCCTTCTGGTTACAGTCAGACTATGGAGTGCTGTAGGTTTTCCTGGGCTCCGTCTCTGCTGATGGAGGCTTGACTACCTTGCTTCATTCTAGTTTTTTAAGGCCGATGCTTGAGAAGGTTTGCTTAGTGTTTAATTCACCTGTCTCCCCAACTTTTCCATTGATGCAAATAGGAACTTTAAGTAGCTTTAGCCAGATTTTGAGATTTGGGTATCTTTTTCTGTCTCTGCCTAGTGGGCAAATTATTCAGCTTTCTATGTATTTCTGGTAGCCTTTTTTTCTTTCTCTGTGAAAAATCACTGCTCAGTGAGAATGCCGCTAGCCTGATTTTTTTGCATGAACCTGGCAAAGTTTCGCCCATTCCGCTCAACTCTGGGTCACCAGGGGGAATTTGTGAAGTGTGGGCTGTCACAGTTTGCTAAGTGTTTGTGGGAGGAATTAAACGGACAGCTGTATAAGGTAGTGTGTCTTTTCTAGAATGAGGAGAAGGGACTGGGTGACTTCTTGGGATCTTCTGTAGCCTCTTTGCTATTCATGTGTCTGTGACACGACTAAAACAGTCCCTGATTTCAAATGCTTATTTTAAGTCAAGTATGAACATTTCGGATGCTCCAGTGATGAGAGTGGTAGGATCAGGTATAAATTTGCCTGTTGCATCTCCTGTATCTTTGATGGCATAGGATAGTAGTGTATCTTATATTAATTGACTGATACTTCCGGACAACAGATCCAACAACTCTTAATGTTAATGCTTGGGTTTACATGCAGATGGATTTGTACTTGAATTATAGAAGCTGTCAAAGAGCAAATAAGGTACCCAGACTTTCCTACATCATCCTAATAGCTGAGAGATCAGATTGTCTTGAAACATCAAAAAGCAAATTGTCTTTTACAGGCATGGCATGTGTCAGTAACAATTTATTCCACTGCTGGATGCCTGAAAAATCGCTGAGTCCTTTATCCTTATAAAAATATGTTCTGCATGGCTCTGTGCATTAGAGTACCTTCATTATTTTGAATAAGTGATACTTGTGTTTTAGCCCCAGCTGTCAACTCAGCACCACACAGCTGCTTGGAATGATCACATTTTAAGACTAGTAGTTGTCTTCCTAAGTAATCCAGTGATTATTTAGGAAAACAAGCACCATCACTTTGAATATCCCTCCTTTCCTAATTCTTTCCTCAGCTGTCTATGCTTATCCATGATGCCATATGGTCTGGAATATTCCTTTGGTGAGCTGTTCCAGCTGTGTCCCTTCCCATCTTCGTGTGCACCCCCAGCCTCCTTTCTGGTGGGGTAGTGCTATAATTCAGTTTAGTTTTTAGAAGGGAGACTAGAATATTTCTTCAGAAAGAGCAAAGTTTCAAGATTTTAAGGAATTTTTTGTAAGAGATGGCATAGGAGTCTACTAGAGCTAATTTTATTTTCCAGATCTTTCCAAGAGCAAAAGTTTTCAGGAACTGGTTTGAGCTAAAATTCTCTGAGAATGCAGTTTATCATGCAGTTTTGTACATGATATTTTTAATTGGTTTATGAAACAAGTTGGGGGTGGGGGAGGGGGAAAAGAGCAATCCCTTTACAATTGTTTCTTGTTTCCAGGATTGGGGTTTAACTTCTTTTTCAGATGTTTGCTTAATCCCTAGAATAGGAAGATGTGTTTGAAGGATTTGATTTTTCTCTTTGTGTTGTTTTGCAGTGAATTCATCCTGTTAAAGGGATCGTAGTGCTGAAGGGAGGGATCAGTCACTCAGATGCTAAGAGTTCTGGCAAATGCTGCTGTTCCCACTGGCTTTCTTGGATTAAGGGAAGATCCATTTTCAGGATTGGATGTATTTTCTATAATTCAACCTCCCTTTTCTCTATACAGTGCCTACAATGAAGCGGAATTAAAAATTTGCTGCAGATTTCATTGAGAATTCTGTTTAGCAGCGCCCAAAATGAGTCATGTGATTGCCTGTTTGCCCTTGTAGGTTTATTCACAGTGCACATAAACCAGGGCAGGGTAAACTCCTGGACATGAGCATCTTTTCAGTTTGCATTGAACTGCACATAAAGCAGGTTTTGCAGCAAACTCATAAAGAACTCATACTAATCTTGTAGTGGAAAATTGTGTTGTTGAGTGTTGCTGCTCAAGCTGTCCAAAAGCTGCTGGTACCAAGTCCAGACGGAGAGGGGAGACACTGCCTGTGAACTCAAATTCAGGAGCTGAGAGGCTGTCTCTGTGTTCACACAGATGAAAGGCTGACAGGTTTCTTTTCCTTTTTTAACTTTCTGACAAGGAACAAGTGAAATAAAATGAAAGCTTAATTAGATTGGGTGACTCAGGTGGTGAAGGAAAAAGAAATTAGATGATCTTTCAGAACCTGCAAGGAGAAGCCCTGTGCAACACCACTGTCCAGGCTTTCTGCAGAAAAGGAAGATGAGTGTTCTTAATGATCCTACCTGGACTAGAAACTATCTCTTGTTCAAAACAAGGCTAGCAAGGAAAGGTGGAAGGCTTGCCAGGGACCTGATGTGTGGGCTGTCCTGCCTTCTGCGTGGCTGCTGTGTTGTTTCTTTGTGCCCCTCTATGCCTTGGGACTCCATTGCAGTTTCCAAGTTGTCGAATAGGTTGCTGTGGGTACTGTTTACCCCCCAAAAAATCACCCCAGTCCTTTCAAGTTCCCTTTGGCCCTAATTTTTTAAAAATTTTTACTCACGTCTTTATCTACCACCTGATTTTATGCTCTTGATCCCTGTCTGAGGTAACAAATGTATTGATTTTTTAAAAATATTTTCTGTTAGGAAAGTGGGGGGATGTGTTCTTGTTACGCCATATATTTTTTTCCCCCTCTACCCCCCATAAAATTACTTTTGTCACGTGGTTATCAGGAGGTACCTTGCGTGATGGAGGTCTTGGCATTCTACATCCTGTGCTCTGAGTTCCTGCTGGGACAGCACTGCTGGTTTGCAGTTTGAAGAGCTGAGTATATGAGGTACTCCAGAGCAAGCCAGAGTGACAGCATTCACTGAACAAACAGAGCTCATACTCTGGTGTCTGTGAGCATTTAATTTCACTCTTGTCCCAGGCAAATCACAAAGGGCACGTGGGCTGTGGGTGCATTTGTCTATAGATCCTTTTGGGACTGCAAGCACAGGCTGTGTGTGTTTCTGGTAAATGTTATCCTTGCATTGCTGCAGCTCTGACAGGATCATTTGTAGTCTCTTGTTTCACCCTTAGCCTGCCCTTTCAGCCTGCTAACACATCTGATCAGAACATGCTAATGGAAACACTCCTTGTGTAGAAATGACTCAGATGATCTGCAGGACAAATTGCTTTAATCTGAATCTGGATGCAGGAGCATGCCACAGGACTATGGTGATTGGACACTGTTCACCAAACCTCCCAAGTTAGCTGGAGAGGAGGGGGCAGCACTCAGGAGAAGCTGTCGTGAGAGGATCCCCAGCTTCTCCTTGCCAGCCAGATACTCACCATCAGTCCAAATGCAAAATGTGCTTCTTCTGGGTGAATGTAGGACCTTCATCCGGGTGTAAGTTACTAGGAAAACCTTCTGTTTCTGGTGTCACGCTTCCAGGAAAACTTCCTTCTGTCACACTTAAGTATATCTGGAGAGAGAATGTACTTTTCCATGAACTACTTCATGTTTTGCCTGTATTTGGACAGAACCCAGATGTTGGGCAAAAGCCTTTGCAGGGGGCAAAATGTGATGTTGGGGATCGTGTTTTATTTTGGGCTGACTTGGGGTTGGGTGTTCTGTGTTATATGAGATGTTTTGTTGTTTTGGGGTTTTTTAGGCATTGCTTTTTTTGTTCCAGGAAATGAATTTCTGGTGTTCTTAAATATCTTCAGTTTGCAGCTGCTTCTTTTCTACATCACTTCTATTTTCCAACTAAGACCTGCTGAGTTGTGGTGATAAGTATGTTGCTTTTGCCTGAGCACATCAAAATTTCCTTTTGCAGGGCATTTATTTCCTGAAATAGCTTTTCTACCAAGCAAAAGGAGTTTAATTTAGCTAAATTGCTTACTGAAGATTTGCCTGGTAATTTCATAATGCCTGTGCTTCAGCATATATTCTTGGATTTATCAGGAAAAAGCTGTCTGGCGGATAGAAGCTTTGCCCTGGTTACATTGTAAGTAGATATTTCCCTGGAGATGAGGTGTAAATGTCATGTTGCTGATTAGCATCTGACATGGAGCATGGGAGCAAAGAAAGGGATGCCTCAGTTCAGTCTCCAAAAAGGAGAAACTGGAATCGTTCTTGAGCTCTGACAGTGTTACTTGGACAATGTCCTCCTCAGTGTTTTCTGTTCCAGCTTGTGGCTGGGCCATGAGAAGTGCTTTGCCACCCAGATCTCTGAAGAGCCCCTGTTTTGGTGTGCTCTGGTTGTGCCTGGAGGAGTTAAGACCTGGCTCTGTTGTCTTCCTAAGCGAGTGGGGTTTTCATTTTGTGGAAGTGAAATCCTGGCATATGCAAAATTCCTCTGGGAGAGCTCTTTTTGGCTACAGCAGGATCTAAGCCCCAGGCAGGAAAACTTGCTGGAAAGCCTCATCCTGCCTGGCTGCTCACCTGTACTCTGGTTCTTACTGGGAAGGTGGTGAGGACAAAGTGTCTTGGTTTAAGACAACTGAAGTCATGGACAATCCAAAATGAGTTACCTCCCCTTTTAAGTTTAACCACTCCCTTTTCACCAGTAAGGAGAGATGAATGGGAGTAGGTCAAGTGAGAAAATCACTAGGCAAAATGTTTTAGCAAAACCACACTTTTCTCATTGAAGAGAGCTAAGTTATATTTTAATTGCTCAGCAGTTAATGTCAGCTATCCTTTAGTGATCTCCATTTGTCTTCCACAAATCCATTCCAACTATGAAAACAGGTGGTAAGTGCTGATGTAGGGGTGGCTGTGGAAAGCTGGGATTAATCTGAGAGTAGGGTGCAATGATCAGCTCAGTGATTAGCCCAAACAAAATATTGTGTGGGTTTTTTTCCCAAAGTTGTGGGCATAGGTGGGTTGGTCTGAGGCTTTGGTACTCACTGATGTTCTTCTAAACCCCCTGTTTTGTATAATTTCCTCTACTAGTCCTTTGCTGTTTCTGCTTTTCTTACTTTAGGAAACTGGGCTTGAGGTGTGGAAATGTTACTGGAAGCCTTGATGGAGTTCTTTACCTCTTCATTGTCAAATTTGCTGTGGGAAGTATAAAAATCTGTTGAACCTTTCAACATAAGCTTGTTGCATTCACAGATGGGTGACAGTGTCTTAGTAATATATTTTTCCCCCTATTGGAATATGGCACTTGCTTTAGCTTGTGAAGAAAAGGGCTTTAATTTTGGTAGTACGTGTTTCTGAAATCCAGAATATGGTTTCCAGGGCAAGAGGAGGAAGACAGGCACTTGTAGGCAGGTAGTAGTGTAGTGAAGGCAGGTTTTGGATGAATAAGAGGATAGGCTCTTCCCTGTGAGCACCTTATCAATAGTGCCAAAAACTTAGATGAGCAGGGGAGATTGGCATGTCTCTTTTTTGCTGTGCTGGAAAACTGTTCCTGAGAGTCTTGGCTTTTGGATCACAAATGCTATTGAGATTTTAACAATTTTGGTGCATGATTCATCTATTTCCATCCCAGTCGGTGTGTACACTCATTTTTCTTGTACAAATGTGTATCATACAGGTCTTTAGGCTCTCTTTGACAATTTCAATTAGCTGACAGTGGCTAAACCCTCTTAGCACTAGTCTAGAGCAAGTTTAGTGTGTCACTCCAAGAATTGCCAAATGGGAGAGTAATAATTTCATGCCTTTTGGAAAAATAGTTCTCTGGTTTCAGCTGCCTGCAGTTCCCAATACTGAGAACTGTTTGCTCACTGGCATGGAACATGATTCTTGCACAAGACTGTCTGCTGAAAAGGAACAGAAATTGTGTTGCCTGAGGCTTCGCATGGATTTTTTGTTCCTGATTGCAGGGCTGATTGAGAAACCTCAGTGCACATGAAATGTTGCTCAAATAAATCATTACAAGTATGCCTATGTGCATATATAGACATACATATCAGTGTGTATTTGGTAGTTGTTCTGCTACAATAAAGGGAATTTTGAGATACATGGCTTAACTAGCTACTGTGTGTTACTTGGGGTTTTTTTAGTTGGTTTTTTTTGTTGTTGGTTAGGATTTTTTTTGGAGTTTATTCTTCCTAATCAGAGTACTCAGGAGAAAATTGAGATACAGTGTTGGGGCAATTCTTAGAGAATAATGCTGCAGATTATGAAATTTATTATGTTTTATAACTTAGGCTTGCTTTCCAGGGCATTGAGAGGTATGGACCCTTTTAGCTGGACAAGGCAGAATATCTGCTCCAGTCTGTACATGAGATCATGTGTAACTTTATCAGTCTCCTTACACATAGTTCCTCAAAATATGTGAAAATCTAACTGAACAAAATCTGATAGTGATCTAAATGGGAAGTACAGTTGGGTTGCTTTTTGGAGATGAACATGTGATATGCATTCTGGAGATTCTGAAATCTGTTAGGTTAGCAGGAAAAAAAAAATCTCTTGCTACAGTCTTTTAAAATGAAATCAGTAGGGAGTTTCTATTCCCGTTTTCTAAGCTGTCATCAGTTGGTATTTTGGTTACTTCTGCTTCTCTCAAACAACTGAAGCTACACAAACTGTTTGAAATTAGGTTTTGTTTCAAGTGTAAATGACCAGATTTTCGAAAATACCAAGCACGCAGATCCTTGTGAAAATTTCTCCATAAAAATTCTGTTATATTCAGCTCTGTCTTTTTATTTTTTTTTTCTTTTATACAGGCGATATGGATTATGGTTTCGATTGAGGAAGTTAATACTCTGGTTGCTGGGAATGTACATAGCCATCCCATTTCTAGTAAAACTTTGCCCTGCTATTCAGGCAAAACTGGTCTTCCTAAACTTTGGTAAGTGACTCAGTCAGGTGGGTGGGTGAGGGGACAAGGGGAGAGATCTCTGTCTTTGATTTGTTTGCCTTCACTTTCACCCTGCCTGTGAACAGCTCGTGAAGGATGTGAACTTTCACAGGTCCTAAACTTCCCCAGACTGTGGTTTGGAAAGCCTTGGCTGTGGCCCTGGTGATTACTGTAGCATGTCTTTATATAATAGAGTGCCCAAACTGAAGCAAATTTTCAGCCCAAAGAGTTTTCCTTCAGGAAAACTGTGCAATATGTCAGATGTATTTTTCTGAAGGGTTCCACACAGTTGCATGAATAGACAGCAAGCAAGTGAAATTAAATCCAATTAATCTAAATTTGCATTTAAACCTCACTTGTATTTTGTTACAAATTTTTAAAAAATCTCTTCCTCTGACTGTTGAAGCTGGAAGGGCCAACTGTGGATACATTGGTTTTTTTGTAACTTGTCTAATTTTGATTGCATGCTTTGCCTGCTCTCACACCTTGGATCATGGTTGCTGTGATGTGTGCACATGTGCAGGGCAGCTCTTGTGCTTTGATTGTCAGAACTGACAGCTATGTAACCTGAATAGTAGAGGTTTCAGTGATTTTGCTTTTGCAGAGTTTTGTTAGGTCTCAGTGAAGTTCCTTCCTCTGCTCACTCACGGGTCACCAAAATAATTGTCCTGTAGCATGTCCTTAGTTGTTGTGTTTGCCAGGTTTCCTCAGCATGGTCTATAACATGTTTAGAGTCAGGACAGAGTTTTGTAGGGGAATTGTCCAGAACCCTGCCCTGGAGATGGATAGTCATGAGTAGCATGGAGAGTGGGAGAAAATGGGCCAGCTTTTGCTAATTATTGGACGCTGCTCATTACTGGACAGCACCCTCAGGGGGAGGGGAAGGAAAGCAGAGCAGCAGTGGCAACTCAGACTGCAGCTGAGCCAGAGCTGAAGCTGTGCCAGGAGCAGCCAGCCCTGTACAGAACAAGAAATCCAAGACCAAATCAGTTTGTGTAGTGAGTGATAAAGAGGAAGCGGGACCCTCACAACCAGAAGAAGAGGCAGGGCCAGAGATAATCACCTGATCCCTACCTCCAGGTGAGCTGTGTGAGTCAATCCCTCGTTAAATGGCTGCCAAGGAAGCCAAGCAATTAGGGTTCCTGTCCCAGGATGCAGGCATTGGCTAGAGATTGGGAAAAGAACAGAAACTCTCTGGAAGCGGCTCTCGTCAAGCATGAGGGAAATATATCTTTACAAGGATAACCTTGTAGTGCACCGAGACAAGTGGAACACCATGGAGCAATGTATCCAGTACCTGAGAGAATCAGCTGTGCTGGAGGTGATCTGTAAGTATCAAAGAAGGAGCAATTCCCTGTAAACCCAGATGACAACCAGTGTACACAAACCATGTTTTGGAAGTTCTTGTGGAGCACCCCAGTGTCATGTGTCAGCTCATTGGTATTGATGTCTTGGGAAGGAGGAGACCAAAAAGTGGACAATTTGATTCCCAAACTCCTACCCTATGAAGAAGCCATCTCTTCCCTGGCATGGGCCTGTGTCTCATCCATGGAAAGACTGTCCAAGGAATTAAAAAAATTAAATTAAAGAAGAAATTTAAGAGGAACAAGTTAAAGAGGACCACTGGCAATTCAAGGAGGAAATGTCCCGTATCCTGCCAATACAGACCAGAGTCTCCACTATTGGGAGCGGGTACTTCCCTGCTTGAGAGAGAGGATTCATACCATGAGGTACCCTGTGGTTTCAACTGGTGGTAAATTTGTTTTATAATGGTGGAGAAATGTCAGTGGTGCCACCATAATGCAATCTTCTTTATTCCTTTAGTAGCAGAGTGCAGGCCACAGTTTCCCTTTACCTGGAGAGGTGTACGCCTGGAACAGACTGCCCCAGGGGTGGAAACAGTCTCACCATCTGCCATGGACTGATCCAGACCACACTGGAAAAGGGTGAGGCTCCAGAACACTTGCAGTACATTGATTACATCATTATTTGAGAGAATACAGCAGAGGAAGTATTTGAGAAAAGGGAGAAAATAATCCAGATCATCCTGAAGGCCAACTTTGCAACAAAACAAAGTAACATGAGGGGACTTGCCCAGGAAATTCTGTTTTTAGGAGTAAAATGGCAAGATGGATGTCAACAGATTCCAGTGGCATGGTAAACAGAATGGCAGCCATGTCCTCACTGACCAGCAAGAAGGAAACACAGCTCTCCTAGGAGCTATGCGTTTTTGGAGGATGTATATCCCAGAGCACAGCCAGACTCTAAGCCCTCTCTATCTTGTAACATAGAAGATTGATTCCAAGTGAGGCCCTGAACAACAGCAAGCCTTTGAACAGATCAAATGGGAGACTGCCCATGCAGTAGTTCTTGAGCCAGGACAGGACAGGATGCAAAAACCATGCTCTTGTGGGCAACATGATCCTTCCTGGAGTCTCTGGCAAAAGACTCGAGGGCAACCCCCGGGGTTCTGGAGTTAGGGATACAAAAGATCCAGGACCTGAATTTCTGGCTAATGCTAAACCACCACAAAGGCACAGGGAAGTTGCATGATTTTCCCAGAGCACTGGTAGAAGTGACTTGTGTGCCTGTCCAGACCTTGACTGCAGAACTCTCAGAGGATCCACAGCCCTCCTGAGACCCAGCGGGTCCCTGGTGCCCTGCATGGCTTGTCCGAGGCTCTTGCATATGCTTTTGCATAACAGCAGACACTTGCACAGGTAAAGATTTGCAGTCTGAGGGTCCACGTTTGTCAGGTTAACATTGGCTGTCGTCTGCATTGGTTTTTATGTATCTGTAAAGTTTAATGTGTTTTTAGAGGGTAAGTTAAGTGAGATTTGACTGTCACCATTGTCAGTATTTCTTTTTGTATCAATAGCACAAAAGCTTTGGTGTGTTAATTGCTGTACCACTAAATCTCAAGGAAGACAGACTTCCTGGTTCTGCTGTAATGGAGCTCCATTTTATGAGAAAAAGATCGAGTCCAAATCAGCTAACCCATGCCACTGATGCAGCAGAGATTTATAAAGCAGACTGGACAGAGATGGTTAAATGTTTGTCAAAGGAAGCTTTGTCCGTCCCCCTCACCTTCTCTTAATTTCAGTCTGTTCCCTGGTTATTTTGGTGGTTGCCTGCGTCTTCTTATCTTGCTCTTTTTGCTGTTCATGTTTTACATCACAGCTGTAGCAAATTTGTCCTTCTACACAAAAAAGGTCTTCCCAGCACAGTGGACTGGTTTGTACAACTCTCCAGTGCCTTGGTTAAGCAGTTTTTTAAGAAAATAATGGTTAAAATTAAAATGTTTATTTTTTTCATTTCAGTGAGGGTCCCGTATTTCATTGACTTGAAAAGACCACAGGATCAAGGTTTAAACCACACCTGTAATTATTACTTGAAGCCAGAGGAGGATGTAACCATTGGAGTCTGGTAAGGAATCCAGTTCTGTGCAGTATGTGCCATGCATCTTTATCCTTCTTTTTGTTCTTGGTGTTGCCTATTCAGTCTTGTTGCTGTGCATGCTCTCATTTGTGGATGTTAGTATTTTCTTCTGCCAAGTGACCGACTTCATGTTGAAAAGTATGCAAATCTCTGGGACTCATCTGAGCCTGGATCAATAATGCACGAAACAGACAACTTGTGCATTCAGAGAAGCACCAAAATTTGGAATCATAAAGGTTGCAGGTCTGCATCACTACCAAGATCCTGCTTCCAGATCAGATCAGACCCATGGAGTTAGATGTTTTGTCATTCAACTCCGATTCATATTTTGTTTTGCAAAATACATGTCAGGGGAAATAGGAAAATAGATCAAAGTGTTCGGAGTAGGAGGAAGAAAATCAGTTCATAAAACATATGTAAGATTTGGAGAGTGGGTGAGAACAGAACACACAGTTTGCTCTCTTTACAAAACAAGTGACAGTGTCTGAGCTCATTTGTCATTTCTTTCTCACAAAGATGATTTTCTGGTCTCAGGTAGGTACAATTCATTTTAGCTCCTTGTTACCCTGGATCATGTCAGGTATGGAGGGAAGGAGGTGTTCCCTTAATACAGACAGTGATGTTCCATCTGTAAAGTGCAGGATTTGGAGCTTTCAGTTGTGTGTGTAACTTAAATGTGTCCTTTAAGGCAGTAGAGATTTTCTCAGGGCACATAACCTTTAAATGGGATAGAGATATTCTTATAGTTATCACTAGGACAATTTCTTTCCTTTAAGTAAATTTTGGTGAAAGGTTTGTTTAGAAACCTGAAAACTTCAGTCTTTCCAGGATATTCTGATAAATAATGGCTTGATTCTTCACTTGGACAATTAAAATTCTACCTGTTAAGCTGTTAAATAAGTTTTTATTGCAATCTTGAGATTTGTATATTGTTTCTCATGCAAGTGTACTGTCTATCTTTGCCAAAACAGAACTTCCAGCTTGTGGTGGCAATTCAGAGGCTGTTATTTGTCTTGGTATTTATGGAAGATTTTCACAGAAGTTTGGAACCTTTCTTTTAAAAGCCAGTGCAAGGTTCTGTGTTTGGTATATTTGTGAAATAAACTCCTCAGCCTGTTTTATTTGTAAGTTTGCAAAAGTCTTGGGGCAGAACAGTTGTAGAATTTTTGAGTCTCGCAGTTACTGAGGCTTTTTACCTCTTCAAGACCTTGGTGTCTGCTAGCTGCATGCAAGTAAGTAGACTTTTTACATTAGTTTGTCCTCTGAACTTTACATCTGGGAAAGATCAGTGTGATAGGTGCAAGCTTGTTTGCCTTTCAGGTAAAAAAGGCATCTAAGTACTTAAATTCCTTCTGATGGCTGTAAGCCAGCTCCCTTCTCAACAACTGAGATGGTTATGGGCATGCACTTGCTTTGAGTTCTAATTATCCAGTTTCAATTGCCTATCTTTCTCTTCAGTCTGTCATTCCTCTTTCTGTTCCACCAGTGTTGAATTCTTTCTTGCAGGCCACCTAGGTACGTTATCTGCAGAAGAACTGCTGTGAGTTAAAAATTCCTGTCTCTTGCGGATTGTAACTTTTTCAGCTAAAATGTTAGACCTTCAAGAACCCTGTGCCTGAAAACAAAACACATGATCTTCTCAGAGCCTGGGTTCCTCCATTTCCTTAGTTTGGCTATAGAGTCAGATATGCCTCCTAATCACCGAACATTCTTTCCAAGCCAAACTGCCTTTGATTCTTCTGAACATCTGCTGATCTAGCAGTGAATCTTGTTTATGGTATATAAATATGTTAATTGAAGTAATTAAATGCCATAGAAGCTGAGGAATGTGATACTTTTGCCAGAAACGCAGGAAGTTCAGTAATTGTGCCTTTGAACTTTGATGCCTCTCACAGACAACCCTAAGTTTTGAAGACAATGGTGATGGGAGGTGCAAATGTAGAAATAAGTGTAGCCACTGCCTTTTCAGTTTGACCATTTGTCAGCTAATCAGGACAGTTTTATGAAAAGTGTGTGTGAGGTGTATAATCCTGAGTGAAGGAGCTGAACAGAAAATCTCAGAATTCAAGTGGCAGATACTTTAGTGTTGAGTAGCAGCAGGACAGTGTAAATTTTCCTTCTGTACACAGGCACACGGTCCCTGCAGCCTTATGGAAAAATGCCCGAGGGAAGGACCAGCTGTGGTTTGAAGAAGCTTTGGGCTCCAGCCATCCTGTAATCCTTTACCTGCACGGGAATGCGGGAACAAGGTGAGGTACAAAACACTGATGGCTTTCTTTCAGGATGTGTTTTCCTGGCTTGTCACAGCTTCAGCACGTTGAGAAAGACTGAGAAAAACTCCTTAGGGGCTGTAGTGATAGGACAAGGGATAATGGTTTTAAACTAAAAGAGGGTCGATTTGGATCAGATACAGGGAAGAAATTGTTTACAATGAGGGTGGTGGTCAAACACCGGAACAGGTTGCCCAGAGAGGTGGCAGATGCCCCATCCCTGGAAACACTCAAAGTCAGGCTGGACGGGGGTCTGAGCAAACTGCTCTAGTTGAAGATGTCTCTGCTCATTGCAGAGGATTTGGACAAGATGGCCTTTGAAGGTCTCTTGCAACCTAAACTATAATGTGATTAAAACCAAAATAAAATCTAAAATAAGTTTAGTGCTTCTCCTTTTAAAAGAAGGCACATATATTTTATGGAATTATCCCTTTCCATTTATTGAATGTGGGAATACATTTATTGCAGTTACCAGAGATATCTGATATTATAGTTTGCCTTGTATCCTCTGCTTGAATCCAGGAGGCTGTGACCCTTCCTAAATCAGGTGATGAGAAGTAGTTCTTTTCAGTATAGTAGTCTCTGAATTGAGACATGGGATGATATTAGTGCTTCTGTATATGTGACTCACAGGCATTAAATAAACCTTCCAGTTCCTTTGGTGAATTTATTTTGGTAATAAACACATTCTGAGGAAGGAAAACCAGAAGGAAAGAGGAAGGTCATGTGTTGATCTTGTTTCATTATTGCATCTGTCCAGGACATTTTCCTGAACCAGGAGCACTTCTAAAATTTGTAATGTTTTAGTTGACTGTTTATTGGCTAAAGTAGTAGGTTAGTTCTCTGTACTTTGTTGCTGGATGCTAAAAACCATTAATGCAATGTGAAGTTATTTCTCAGGAGCATGTTCTTCCTGCCTACCTCTACACATGTATGATGCTTTTGTTCATTTATTAGAACACGGTCTTTTCTCTTAAAAATATGCATTTTACAAAAGAGTATCAACCCCTTAGTGAATTTTGAGTGCCAGTTCTTAGGATGCTTCGTCTTGATTGCACGTTCTTTTGAAGCTGATGTCTGCCCATAGATACTCTGCAAGAGCAGCGACGTTGCAGGAAAACAAGTTCCATGATGTAAAGAAACTGTTTTGGCTGTGCTGGTAGTGAAGGTTTGCTAGCCTTTACATCACAAGAACATTTTTCACACACATTCTTGTCTCAGCAGTGCGCTTTTCTTGGTACAAGGGCATGATGTGGAAGATGTGTGCTGTGACCCAGGAAATGCATGAACAGATGGGTTTTTTGCAACCTGCTCTTGCCTTTTTGTGCTGACGCATTGCAAGGTTTAATCAAATTGTGGCATTGTTTTTCAGATACTTCTTCAGTTTTTCTTTTTTTTTGCCTTTATTGGGTGTAGCAAACTATACTAAGGGAAGCTATTCTGCAGCTTAATGGTGGCCATTTGGTACCAGTATGTCTGCTCTGTGTGCATTGATTAGATTTCTTTCTCAACTCCTCTAAGTGCTACTGAGATAAAGGACTGAACTAGGGATCAGTTAGATATTTCACATTTCACTCTGTGCACTGGAGGAGCTGAAGGTGTCTTGGCTTTGCCATTTCAGATTTAATGTGTCTCACTGTATGTTTGTTTCTGTGCTACACATTCAGTTGCTTGTCCAAGGGCTGCACTACTGCTGCAGGCTGCATTAACCATGAGTAAAAAGCACTGCCTTGGCTTCCTGGTTTGACTTGAGTGATCTGGGGCTGAGGCAAAAATGCTATGTACTTGATCCCCTTAGAAAAAATTCCTCTGTTACACTTCAAGGAAAGCATGAAAATGCACAAAGGTGTGCATGTGAAGGGTGACTTTTCAATCAAGTGGATCATCATGTTCAGGCTTATATGATTCAAAATTACTTACAAGCAACTCTTTGATTTTGCCCTGAGTGTTTTTAACTGCATTAGATATTTTGTAGCATGGTTGGAGCTGACAGCTTTTGGGCTGGCAAGTGCATGTGTCCTTAGGGGGAGATTTGGCATTTTGGTTTAGAGGCTGCACTGACCGAGCCAGTCATAGTATGAAAGTTGTAGAGTTTTCATGAGTGCTAGACTGAAGTTTGAATATGGATTAGCCACGTCATGTTGTGCATATATTTTAAGGTATATTATGGCACATTCATATTCCTTTCCATTGTCTAGGTTTCAGTTTATATTTATAAATAAAAGCAGATTGTTTCCCTGGACTTATTTACAGTGTTCAGCTCTGCTTTTCTCTGCTCATTTTCTTGCAAATGTCCTTTCTTTCCCTGTGCTTGGAGGCAGGTGTGAAAATCTGAGAGCCACCTGCTTGCCTTAGTGTCATGATTTCTGCTGGGAGCATCAAACTTTTGAGAGTCAGGGCTACTGGCTGGGAGAGCACTTTTGGCAAGAGCTCAGGATAGGCAGAGCCAAAAGGGACAGGCTGTTCTGGATGTATTACAGGCTTTGGAAAAGGCAAATAACAGGGTGGGTTGAAAAGTTCATTTTTACCTGCTGTGAGGCAAGATTTACATGGAGAAGTTGACTTCAAAATTATGTCCTGCACAGCTCAACAAAACCTGGCTGTCTCCTTGAAGCCTGTGACAAAGCAGTTACGGTGTTTCTTATGTTTGGCATGTTTTTGTTAGATTGCCTGATGCAATTGGAAAATATGTTACTGAAAACTTAAATGCTCAAATGTGGCTGGTTTGGTGGGGGGGTGGTGTGTGTTTGTTTCTTTTTGTTTGGTTATTTTGTTTCATGTTTTTCTTTTTTTTCTCCCCTCTCCTTTTCTCTCCATCAATTGCTCTTGGCAGAGGAGGAGATCACCGGGTGGAGCTTTACAAGGTAAGTGGCTGCCTGTGTTGTCCAAACAGTTGCATTAACACATCCGTGTGCACAGAGTTGAGAAGACTGCTCAAACATCCCACTGCCAACAGGCACAGCCCTTGAGGTTCTCAGTGTCATTTAAATAGGAAGCTTCTATGGGAAAAGGGGTCTGTAAGCTTGAGCACACTTGTCTCATCTTCAGATGTTTGAAAGGTTTTTTATTTGCTGTTGTTAACTGTCAGCTTCAACCGAGCTAACCAACACAGATTGCCAGATTCTGGGAAAAATCAAAAGTTTTATTTAATTTACAGTCCAAATTTGATTGATTAGCTTAATGTACTAATTTGAGGTACCATTTAAGAGTATTCAGCCTGATTTTCCCCTTTGCTCATGGCACAGTGTGTTTGTATGAGGGGTGCTATCTCAAGTGCAGGAGGTCTTGTAGAAAACCCAATGAATTTCCCAGGTGTAGCACTATGGTGCGAATTGTGTGAGAACACAGTTGCTTTGAGTGTTTTGTCTAATGATTTTTGGGGTAATTTATTTTATTAAACTCTTTTGGCTGAAATTCCCGCACACAAGTTCTTGGTCTCATATCACGTGTTTCTAAAAGAGCCATAATTGGTTTTGCTGGCTCATTTCAGAGAGGTCTGAAGCTGTTCCTCTCTTTGTGTCAGTGTTGGCACTCATAAAGCTTTATTGCAATTCAATGCAAGATCCCCTGCTGCAAAACCTTTTAAATTCAGATTGCTTAGAAAATAGTGTCTAGCAACCCCAAGGAGGCAGGTGATGATATTTCATTTCCTTTAAGAAAAAAAAGATTAGCTAAGATGCAGAAAATTGTTTGAGGAGACTGTCATGTATGGTGATCTGTTTTATAATTTTTCTTGCATCCAGCCTGTGCTGTGATTCATTTTGTGCTGGCAGAGGAGTTGGTTTTGATTTTGATGGACAGGAGTAGCAGTGCTTCAGACTTGGTTTGTTTCTGTGTACATATACAGAGAACGCAGTTTACCAAAACCCAAGGTTTCTCTTTCTGGGTCTGGAATTCTTTGCTTCTGAGAACATGCAGGCAAGCTGCTTAGTTTGCCTTTTTCAGTCAGTGTGAACACACACGTGAGCTTAGCAGAAGCACTCCAGAAACTCTAGGTTTGTGTTTATTCCAGCATAATGAACCAGTTTGGGATGCTGTCCTTTTTGCTGGTGCTTTTAATAGGCCTTCCATGCAGCCAACACATAGCAAATGTGTATAGAAGATAGGTGAACTCTCAACAGATTAAATTATTTTTAATGGCCTGGAAAAGGTGAGATTGTATACGATATCTTAACACTAAAATCACATTGTAAAGCTGAAAACTTTTCAGGAAGCAACTTCATCTTCTGCATGTCCAGTCAGGGAATCCAATGTGTAAGTGAATATATAAAAATGTCATATAGTGATTCCGTTTGAAGCAGCTGTCCTACAGCACCTCATTTGTCTAGTGGGACAATGGAAGTGCTCTCTCCCTTTCCAGTCAGGTGCCAGTTGTCTGTGTGAGCTCCACTTGATATTATGTACCCTAAGGTAGTTGTGAAATGTTTAATTGTTTATAAATCTACCCTAGTCTCTTAAAATTGTGCTAAAGTAATGCTCGGCTGACAGGTGTTATTTCATTTGTAGACTATAATAGTCCCAGTCCAACTAGAAATGGAGTTGATTTTATATTTCCTCTTTAGAGTATAGCATAATACTAATACTGCTTTTAAAAAAATCATGTATCATACATAGACCACAAGAGCAAGATTTTAATCCTTTTGTAACTTTTTGTTGAATTTTGTCTATCACAGAGCTATTAGGTTCATATCAATCAATGGTAGCTTGGAATGCTTGTATTAGTTTTACCAAGGCATTTTTTCCAAGCAAGTTGGTCTAACATTGAGTGTTTTTACTTGCTTTTAACAGATTTTGTTAGGATTACCATTGGTTATAACATAAATGTTCATAAAAGAGCAACTGCATATTTTTGATCTATACATTTAAGCCTTCTGAAATGGACTTCTTTATGTTATGCTTACATTTATGCCAATTTGAGTAATATAATTGAAGCAGTTGCATTCTTTCACTGGAAAATATGAAAGTCTTTGTAGGGAAATCGGTAGGATATTTGCAGATCTTGAGGTCAAAGCTGTTAAAGGGATAATCAGCATCTTAGGTAGTCTGATATGAAGTCCAGGAAACAAAAAGTGGGCTGAGATGATGAATGTTTGGAAAGCTCTGTGCCTGCTGCACTGAAAAGCTGTAAATCGGCCATTTAACATGTCAATAATCTTATAAAATGAATCCCTGCACTTTGGCCTGATGCAAGAGCATGGCTGGTGTGCAAGACTCTGTAATGGATTTCTGAGTGTTTCTCTGCCTTCCAGGTTCTCAGCTCCCTCGGGTACCATGTGGTGACGTTTGACTATCGAGGTATGTGGGCTTCTTTTACAAACACTTGCTGCCAGCTAATTACGTGTGGTTATTGCTTCTCCTTTTTCCCCTCATGGATATCCAAAGAATTTCCAGAAATTTCTTTCCAGTGCCTTCCTGATGTTCAGCTGGGGGGGCTCTGGCTCCTGTCTGTCCTCATGCACAGGGCTTGTTGGTTTGGGAGCTAAGGACCAGAGAGTGAGCCAGGCACATAGACTGTCACAGTGTGGACACACACATTTAGAGAGCTAGGAAATTACAGCTTGGCAATTCCTTTCAGGCCTGGATTTCTCCTGTTTCTCAGGTCCATTCCCAGGCTGATAAGCTGACTACAGCTTCAGTTAAGGGAAGCAGTCTCCCAGAGTGATAGCTTGGTGAAAAACAGAAAGGAATTCATAATAAAGATTAACACCTGGTGTCTTTCCCACGGGACATCCGGACATGCTGTCCCAAGAGATTTTTGTCCCAATTGTCCAATGAACTACTGTCCTGTCCTAGCTGCACATAACACACTTTAAATAGGGGTTGTCCGTACAATAAAGTTGGATAAAGTTGGCCTTTTTTCCCCAAAAGAGGTCCGTGTGTGTTACTGTCTTTTCTCTCTCTTTGCAGCACAGTAACCACAGTCACAGCATCCACTTAAGGCACTCCTGAGGTGCACTTATGGAAGCTGATGGGCTTGCCTAGGTGTAGTCCTTTTGGATAACATCTAGTTGACTTTCCTAAGGTCACACAGGGAACTGAACTTGCACTTGCTTCCTTTGAAAAGCTCATAGGTGAGATAAGACAGAGTAAATGATTTGCTAACAATACTTGGCAGAAGCCCATGACTGCTTTGCACCTCTGGACCAGAAGTCAGGCATCTGCTGCTCTTTTTTTTACCTTCTTAGTATTTAAGCCATGGCTGCAGTGTAATGCCTCTGCAGATAAGGGAAAGAAATTAATCCACTGCCTTTTTATCAAGAAGACACCTGGGAGAGGTTTATTTGTAGGAGCTTGCCCTGTTCTTCACTCCTGCTGGCAGCTGCTTCTCTGGCTGCTTATTAGATATCAGAAGGGATGTTGGATGCTGGCTGCTAAGACCATACAATGTGTACATGTGCTGCAATAGTGATGGAGCCAAAACAGTCAGGAGGGTGGAAAATTGCTGGAAGGCATTGATCAAACAGCACAGACAAACTGTTGCAGGAGCTCTGTGAGACACGATTGGGTTTTGGCCTTAAGCATCCAATCCTGTGCTGTCAGAGATTCCACTTACAGATTGGTTCCATGCATGCAAAAGCAGAGAAGGTTTGGGAGCTGAGCTGCTGCAGGTGGGTACGTGCAAGAATGCTGTTGTAGCAGTGATTGAGATAGTCCTTGGTTTTGTTATTGACTAAATCCACAAAAACTCCTTGGCAGACAGCAGTCACCTGGATTAAATGACTATGAGTCAATCAGGGCTTTCAGCCCCAAGTCCTAGAGATGCACAGTGATGTGAACAGAAAGTACCCAGGTCCCTTTAGAGTATCAGATGGGGGCTGCACGGGAGGAGCTGGCTGGTTGTGCTGAGCACTTTGAGCAATTCTCAGCAGGACTCTCTGTGTTCCAGGCTGGGGTGACTCAATAGGCAGCCCGTCAGAGAGGGGAATGACCTACGACGCCCTTCATGTCTTTGACTGGATAAAAGCACGGAGTGGAGACAACCCTGTCTATATATGGGGACACTCCCTGGGCACAGGGTAAGCATCTAATCTTAGTGGCACATCTAAAGAACATTAAACACTGACCTTGGATGAAGGTGCTATTTGCTATAATCCCTGGGCTGGCTTGGCTTGGCATCTGTGGCATAATTTCTGGGAGGGGGGGGGGTGGGGTGGATTCCTCCTTTGCACTGTACAGAGTGAGAAGGGCTGCAGCAATGGATCTCGAACCTTCATTGATTGTCCAGAGAGTTCACACTAGAAAGATACTGAGAAGATTAGATTGCAGATTGCCTTTCAGAGCAGAGCATCAGACTTCTCAGGTATTCTAAAAGAGTGTCTCAGACCAGCCACACTTGTGTGTCACTTGTCCTTACAAGAGGTTTTCCTCCTGTCCTGATGAACATGCTGTGTGTAATCAGTGCTTGTGCAGATGCCTGCATGACTATGCTGCTGGCCACTTCTGACATTTGCATGGTCATACCTCAAACAAGGAATTCAAGGTGTCAAGTGCCTTTGCCTTCGTGTTTTTAACTTTTATTTCCTGCTTCCTCACTTTCCATGGCTATCTGGAGGCTAGTAATGTTCAGCACCACATGTTCTTACCCTTGTGATTGGTGGAGGAGCAGAGGGCAAACACAGGAGTTACCTTTGAGTTGAGCTGTGTACAGATAAACTGTAAGACCACAAAGGCTGTGAAACACATGTTGGGACAGGGAGGTATTTCAAGGAAGTAGCTCTTCATTGCTGTGACACTAAACACCCTGCTTTGTTTGAGAGAAGACAAAGACTTTTTCTTTGGCTTGTCCTCTATATTTTTTGCCCCGTTCAGAATCCCTTTCTTATTCAGAACATGCTTGTGATGTTTCCCAACACTGCAGTCAGAGTGTCCTGAGACTGGTCCCCAGCTGAGTTCTCTAGTGACTACAGCCAGTCTGGAGTTCAAGGTTTGTGTGCTGCGCTGTGCTTGAAGGACTTGGCAACTTTGGAAATATCCCTGTCTCATTAGGGTGATGCATAGGGGAGGCCTTGCTGCTTTCAATCCCAGTTAGGGAAACTCCTTGCAGTGTAGCCCTGAGGTGCTGCATTCCAGCTGCCTGGAACACAGCACCCCTCTGCCTATATCTCTACATTCCCCTCTTGCTTCCTCAGCCCTTGTGGTCTGGAGGTAGGAGGCTGTGTCACACTGCTGTAGATGTACTGGGAGCTTGAGAGTTATCTGAAAGGAGTCCATCCACACATACCTGGTGTGTTTCTTCCTTGGGCTTGTTCACTTAAGTACAGGTCCGTGTGTCACTTGGGGCAGTCAGGTACATGAGGCTGCTGGGGACACAGCTGGGGACTGTGGGCCGGCTGCCCGGACCTCAGGCAGTGTGAAGGATTGATCCCGTGGCTGTTGAGCACTCTCTGGCTCATCTCTGCTGTGAGCTGGATGCTCTGGAGGAGCTGTTTGCAGAGCAGTTGCTTCAGTTTGGCTCTTTCAGTGGGAGCCTCTGATGGGGGTGAGAGCAAAGCTCAGTGCTGTTCCCTGTAGCTGCAAATGCGTGAGCCATACCCTACCTGGGCCACCTCTGGAGCTGCTGCTCTGCAGAGGGCCTGTCCCAATTCAACCCTGCTCCTTCTTTCCAGGGTTGCAACAAACCTGGTGCGGCGCCTCTGCGAAAGAGGTAAGAGTGACCCGTGGATGCACTTCCCAGCAGCCTGCCCTGTCCCAGATTCCCGCAGACGTTTGGGGCAGTGACAGAGCTGTCCTTGGCACACCGTGGTGGCAGCTGCACTCCTGAGGCAGACCCTGCCCTTGCTGGCTGTGTGCACCCTTGCATTTCAGCACATTGTCTTTGGCTTTTCAGAAACACCCCCGGATGCCCTGATCCTGGAATCTCCATTCACCAACATACGGGAGGAGGCACGGAGTCACCCCTTTTCTGTGGCAAGTATACAGTGGCACTTACACTGGTGGCATGGAATTGTGTACTTAGAAATGAACCTTCAGAAGTGCTAGAACTGAGTTAACTGCACGACTTGTGGGGCAGTGCTGATATGTGTAAACATTGGGGGTCAAGAACAACACTTGAGTTGAGCTGCTTTGGAGCAGCAATAAGCAGTGCCAGAGCCATGTGTCCAGCATGGGAATGAACTGGCTCTGAACTGAGCAGACACCTAGTCCAGTCCTGCATGATACCTGGAGACTTTGACCATGCAAGCACCCACAGGGCCTGCTCCTGAGCAGGCTGGTAAGATAGGCCTGAAACAGGGGAGGAAAAATAATACTGGTGGAAACAGAGGCAGTCTTAATGCAAAGACCATAGTCAGCAGCCAAGGAATGTTATGGGATGGCAGTGGCCTGTCCTGTAGTGCTGTTTGTATCACTGGCCTGCTGGTGCCTGCCACTAACGTACATTTTTCCTCTCAGATATACAGATACTTCCCTGGATTTGACTGGTTCTTCCTTGACCCCATCACAACAAGTGGAATTAAATTTGCAAACGATGAGAAGTGAGTTCCCTCTTTGCTGGAGTTCCAGCTGTGGCTGCAGTAAGCCATGGCCAGCATCAGTGAGGATAGACATGAGACTGCACTCTCTGACGTTTTTGTTGCTGCATTGCTCTTACTGGAGTGATTTCAATTACTCTAACAGCCCTAGGAACAGCACAGTGAAGCTCTGTCTTTTTTAAGTGTTCATAGTAAGGACAGATGCAACAGAGAGAACAGAGACTACTCAGGGATACGCTGATTTGGTTCATGCCATTTATGCTTTTCAAATGTACCTTACCTGTTAAACAGTAGCATTGGAACATGGAAGGAAGGTTTGGGAAGATTTTTTTACTGTGTATTTGCCAAAGCCACCTTACCTGTAATCACATTGTTTCCTTTCACTGAATGTTTCATTGAAGAGCCCTGAGCATTTTTAAGTTTCCAGTATTGAAACCAAACCAGACTTGGGGGGGTTGGGGTGTGGTGTGATGACTTACAGTGGAGTGAGCCACTTTTCTCTGGTCTAAGCAGCAAGAAAATTTTATGAGCATGTCTTTCACTGGTAAGTTTTCTATTGATCAAATGAATGGTGCTCCGATACGGTTTTAAATTGTAGTTAATAACCCACAGGACATGTTTGTCATTACAGTTTCCGTAAAAATGTACGTGTTGGTGTTAGAGAACGATGGGATTGCTTTGAGCCTTTATGACATTATCTGTTTTACAGTGTGAAATACATTTCCTGCTCCCTGCTCATCCTTCATGCTGAGGATGATCCAGTGGTACCATTTCATCTGGGAAAAAAGGTGCACATGTGGTTCTTCAAACTGATCTGGTGGGAGGAATGGGTGTGGATAGAACAACATCTCAGCCAGGCAAGAAGTCAGTAATGGAAAGGTGTAAAACACAGCCCAGAGGGACTGCAGGTTCTGTAGTGTTGGAGGTGGCAAATCAGTAGTGGAATGAGGCTGGAGCTACCGAAGTTGCTCAAGCCAGGGCCCCTCACTCACGCCTGAGGGGGCTGTGGGTTTAACAGGGGGAGCTGGATTGGAGTGACACCAGTCCCTCACCTGCCTCCCCTTGGGTTCAGCTTTACAACATTGCCGCGACGTCACGGAGTTTCCGGGACTACAAGGTGCAGTTTGTGCCCTTCCACACAGACCTTGGCTACCGGCACAAATACATCTACAGGAGTCCAGAGCTGCCTCGGATACTGCGGTAATGGGGCTGGGATGGGCACCTGGGCACCCTCTGCTCTCCACACTGGGGGAGATAATGGGGCTGGCTTAGCACAGGAGTCAGAGCTCTCCATCTCCTTGCAAAGCAGGTTTTGGGAAGGGGAGACACAGAAATCTGGGAGCACTCTCTGGCTCATCTCTGCTGTGAGCTGGATGCTCTGGAGGAGCTGTTTGCAGAGCAGTTGCTTCAGTTTGGCTCTTTCAGTGGGAGCCTCTGATGGGGGTGAGAGCAAAGCTCAGTGCTGTTCCCTGTAGCTGCAAATGCGTGAGCCATAGGATTTGCCAAGGGAACGGGAAGACCCTGCAGGCTGTAGTGTGCACCAGAGTATAGAAGAGCCAAGTGTCACTGCTTTGTCATTTCCTTTTCTAGGGAATTCCTGGGAAAAATCTGAACATGAGCATCATCACTGAAGACTGTCTGCTTGTCATCACAGAGATTTTCATTTCCTTCCTCTCTCTCCTTTTCTTCCCTGCTCCCTGTGGGTCAGTCTGCCATTCTTCCATCCCTGGCACTAGAGGAGGTCAGGGATTCCCATTCCAGTCCTGATGTGTACCCTTGGCAACTCTAGTTTCTGGCATCAGCATCTGTGATGGCAGAAGGAAGTTGTTGGCTTCATTTTGGACTTGGACAGAGGAGTGGCAACAGCCCAGGAGCCAGTACCAAACCGTGAAAACTGTAAACACAGCAAAGCCTTGCCCATCCCTCGTGGTACTGCTGAGGACAGATGTTCCTAGGACACTGTGTCATGACTAAGGATGCTTCTTTCACTTTTAAACACTGCTGCTGTTTTCAGATCATGTAGAGATACATTTGTAGGTAAATGGCTTTTGCCATGTCTCCTTACTGTAGTTGTCTTGCTTGAGTTTGAGGTGTTCTCTTTCTAGAAAATACATGTTTTGCCTTTCCTTTTTGACCAGTGGCTGTAATTACAAATACCTGGAGGATCCAGGTAGTGAGAGGTATTTTTATTTAGCTCTTCAGTCACACATTGGGGTAATTGCACACATTTGGAAATAAAATGAAAGGGTTTTTTTGTTCTTCCTTTTGAAACATCTATTTAATAGGAAAGGCTAGTGCCTTGTATCTTTCCTGTACCTTTTTCCTTCTCCATATCAGTTTTTGCTTCCATTCCTGCTAGCCTCTGTGGACCTCCTCCCCTTCTTCACAAGTACTTCCTATTAGGATTGGAATGACACATATATATAAACTGCAGACTTGGGTGTTTAAGCCAGAAAGTGTGAGATTACTTTTTTGCTTGACCCCCTCTTCCATAAACAGTGTGTGCCCAGGCTGCTGGAATGGATGTCTTCCATTACCCCTGTACACACACCGACAGCCACGTGCTGCTTTTTTGTGAGAAGGGTAAGGGTTTTTTTCCTCAACTACTTTTTAACTCCTTGGGTCAGGTTTTCCGGTTCCTGGTGGCAATGCTGTTCCACTGTAGTTAAAAGCAGGCAGTGATACAGTTTCTGATGCAAAAATAAGTCTGGGGTGTCACTCCCCATCTCTCCCCTTCTGCCTTCTGTGTACTTCCAGTAGTACATCTTAGTCTCTGACAGCCATTGTCCAGGAGGCAGAAGTGGAAAGGAGCCTTTCCTACAGGGAGAGATTCTGGGGATGTCCTTGCCCTGCTTGGGACTAGAAGGGGGGGCTGGTTTATGCCACTGAAGAGCTCTGCACTGAAAGAGGAGTGCCTCTGAACACTGCCTCGCTGCGGTCCTGCCCCTTGTCAGTCCATACAGACAATACCAGGTGCTGTAGGTTTAGTCACTAGTGCTCAAAGGCAATCGTGCTGCCCTATGGGTCTGGTCAGGGGTATACAGCATAGTGATAAACTGCTCACCATGCATCAGTTATATCTGCAGGCTCATACTAGTTGCAAAAGAGACAGTAGCTTGTTCTTGTACCAAGATTCTTCTGCCATTAGCGCGGTTGTCCCTGAGGTTTCTGACCTCTGATATTCATAAAGTAGCTGTGCCACTTCAGTACAAGTGCGTCAAATATAATTTATCGCACTGACAGACCAGAAATACTTACCTGGCTCCGGAGAGTAACACACACATTCCAGTTAATGCTGCTGCTGGCAGCTGGCTTGTGGCAAAGTGCAGCCTGAGCTAGGGCCTGGCTGCCTTCCCTCTTCCTGGTGGGACAGAGCTGGGAATCCAGCACGAGAACTGCTGCTGTTGGTGGTCCCACCACCACCATTCCTGTTAGCAGGCCAGTGGATATGCTTGGAAATTTGAACTGTTTATCTAAAAGTGGTGTAGTTTTAATAAAGGCATTGACTGCTGATAACTTTAGCTTAACCAGTCTTACCTAGCAGTTTTTGGGACATTTTGCCCACACTGAGCAAGTCAGCTGGTTGTGGGGCAGGACTGCAGTAGGGCTGTGTGTGGGAGGTGAGCTTGCAGCTGGGACTGGGCAAATCTTTGTGGCTGCTGCCAGCTCTAGGGGAGTTCCAACTCTCCTGGAGCCCAGAGGGTCTGTGCTCGTAGTTTGGCTGCAGCTGACTCTGCTTCTGCACTGGGAATGAGGCAGATGGGAATTGCCTGTGTGATTTCTAGTTTTTGTAGGGCAAACCTAAGACTAACTCCCACCCTAGTGCATAGAGTCAGCCTGTCATGAGCATGTTGCCC